CGCCGCCAAGGACGTGGCCTTGGTGGTGGTGGGCGTGGTGGGGGCAGCTGCCTGCTGCTGCTGCTGCTGCTGCTGCTGCTGCTGCTTGGCGCTGGCCTCCCGGAGAGCCTTGAGCAGAGGGTCGGACTGCTCGAGCTTCTGTTCGGCCACGCGCTGCTCGTAGCTCGGGTCGTAGCTCGGGTCCTCATCCGCCCCGGCGGCGGCGGCGTCGCGGAGGCTGGCGGACATCATGGGGGCTCCTGCAGCAGCAGCAGCTGCTCCTGCTCCTGCTTCGCGCTCCTCCGCTGCCTTCTCCTCCTCGTCGTCGCGGTAGTATTCGGCCTTCACGCCCCCGACGACCTCCTCCTCCCCTTCCTTTGCATCAGCCGCCGCCGCCACCGCCGCCACCGCCGCCAGCGACGGTGAATCGCTCCCGCCAGCAGCAGCAGCAGCAGCAGGAGGAGGAGGAGTGCGCTGCTCCCCATCGAGGGCGGCAGTGCTGACCCGCCTGAGAGTGCTTCGTGTGTGGCCCTCCATTCTCGGCCCAAGACTGTCGCTCACCCCACCATCTGCACCACCACCCGCGCGGCCGACCCCAAGGTCCACTTCGTCGACCAGGCGTGCACCTGCGCGCAGGTGGATCTGCGTGTGCACGTTATTTGATTGAAACAGGCAGGGAAATAAATATATAAATAAATAGCCCGGATGTGCTGGAGTTGAGATTGGGGGGGGGACCTCAGGGGACGGAGCGGCTGGTGCCGAAGCTGAAAAGGCCCGGCCAGCATGCAACCCCACCACCAGTAGTAGCAGCAGGGGGAGCAGCAAGCCGCCGGCTGGTTGCAGCTGAGAGGCGGCCCCTCGCTGACGCATGCTGTTTTTTGTAACAATAATAAAAATAAAAAACAATAAAAAAACAACCGTCAGCTTTTACCGTGGCTTCTTTTTTTTTTTTTTGTCGGCCAAGTTACTCTCCTGATGGTTCGTGTCAAGGCTGCTGGTGCTGCTGGTGGTAGGGGCTCGCCTGGAGGCACTTGAGGTGGAGGAGGGCCTGGCCGAGGGGGTGGTGCGGGTCGGCGAAGAAGGCGAAGACCTGGTCCCCGATGCGCTTCCCACACGCCTGGCACCGCGTCTCCCGCTCCACGAGCAGCCCGCCGGCCCTCTTCTTGAGCAGCTGCGCCGATGCCTGCAGGTGGTGGTACTTGAGCAGATTCGTCGCCACCTGCCCCTCCCGCAGCTCCCCCACGTTGCCCTCCACCGCCTACACAACACACGACACACACACACACACACACACACACACACACGACACACACGACACGCGTGGAGAACACGTGTATAAGTTGAAGGACAGAGCAAGAGGAGCGCATTGTTGAGTTGGTCCGGGCTGGAGAGACGTCAAGAGGGGGTGGTGTGGTCGGGTACCCGCGCGAGATAGTCGCTGAGGCTGGCCAGCGGGATTTCCTTGGGCAGGAGCGGCAGTACCTGCAGGACGACACACGACACGACACGACACGACACGACACCAGCCACGTCGTCGTCGTCGTCGTCAGCGTTGCGCCAAGCCAAGCCCACGCAGGCGGCAGGCGAAGGGGGGCGGGGGTGGTCGGCATACGCGCGAGGGGTGCAGGAGGGTCGGGTAGGTGTTGAGCAGGCGGAGGGCGGGGGCGGGAAGAGACGGAGAGGCGGCGGAGGCGGAGGGAGAGTGGGTGAGGTAGATCTGCAGCAGGCGGATGAGGAGGTGGGCGCCCTCCTCCTCGCCACCGCCGCCACCCGGGGCTTCGTCCTCCTGGCCACCGCTGTGGGAGAGCGCAGCAAGATGGTGCGGGGCGGCGTAGCGGGCGCGCCGGGCCTGCTCTGCGCAGTAGGCCTCGGCTTGATCGTAGTCGCCCAGCGTGTTCACCAACAGATCCAGCGCCTGCGTGTGCATCCCGCCCTGTGTGTTGTGTGGTGGGGTGGTGTGGGGTGGTGTGCCCCACACGGCACGAGGAGGCCAAGCAGAGCGTTAGCACTCGTAGGCGCGGTTGCCTCATCATCATCCATCATCCATCATCCATCATCATCCATCATCATCCATCATCCATCAAGGCAATCAAGTCTGAGGATGATGAACTGTTCACCAATTACGGAGCGCGCCCGCAAACTGTAGGGAGGTCGGGGAAGGAGAGGGCCAGACGGGCACCTTGGCGTATACGACGAGGAGCTCGGCGTGGAGGGGAGTGTCTCGCAGGAAGCTGACCAGGGCCGGCACGCTGTAGGCGTCGGAGGAGTCGAGAAAAGCCAGTAGCTTGCTCCTCACCTACACACACGCCACACGCCACACACGACACGCACGCACACACCAACCAGCAGCAATCACCTAACAGTGCCAATAACGCGAGGAAGCTGGTGTGCACGCTGTGTATGTGTCGTGTGTCTCGTGTCTCGTATCACGTGTCTCGTGTGTGTGTGTGTGTGTGTGTGTGTGTGTGTGCGTGTGTGCGTGTGCCGTGTCTCGTGTGTCTCGTGTGTGTGGCGTGCGAGGCGCCGCACCTTGCCAAGCAGTCCTGGTTCGTGGCCGGGTTTGAAGCCTGCTGGAGAATAGAGGTGTGCGTGCGTCAAAAAAAATAGCATGATTTATGAGGAGAGAGAAGAGGAATATGATTTAAAAAAACAGCACCGTAGGTTGGAGGAGCGAGGGACGCACTCGGGGAAGGGGTGGCGGGGACCAGTTCACGAACGCTCTGCGCATAGAGAAGGGCGAGGCGGGTGTGGTGGCTTTCGGCCTGCGGTGGCCGGGCGTCGTCGACCGTTGGTGAGCCGCCACCCAAAAAAGGACGAGGGAAGGGAAAGCGAACACAAGTTAGGGGGGGAATGCAGCGCCAAGAGTAGGCCGCGAGGAGGTGCGTGCGTACCTCCGACTTAAGGTCGTGGACGAGGAACTCGAGGTAGGTCTGCACGCCTTGGCTACCGAATGGGCCGAGGAACTCCAGGACTTGCTCCGGGTCCAGCTCCTGCGCCCGCTTTCCGCCCACAAATACCTTTTTTTTTTTTTGGTGGTTTACCGCGGAAAGGTTAGCTTGCGTGCACATGCGTGGATGGATGGGTGGGTGCGGTGGAGATGCCCTCCCGCCCAATGGCAAGGGGTGCTGGGTCATACCCGAACGGCGCGGTCGGGGCTGCTTCGGAAGAGCCGCTCGGCGTAGGTGAACACCAGGCGGGTGTCGCTCAGCTGTGCCAGCAAGTTGACGCTCTCCTCGACTCCATCGCTGTCTCTGCCACCGCCCCCATCCAGCGCTGCCTCTTCACTCCCCAGCCTGTTTTGGATCGGATCGGTTGGTAGCAACGCAAATATCTCTCCCCCGTCCTACGGCTTGGGGGGGGGGCATAAAACCAGCGTCTACCTTTTCCACGTGTCTAGTGCCTTGGCGTAGCTTTGCGCGTGCCGGTAGATGTGGCCCAGCGCCCTCCATCGCTGCGCAGTCACACACGCACATGCACACGACACACGACACACGACACACACACACGGCACACACACACACACACACACACACACACACACACACACACACACACACACACACACACACACACACCAGTCAGTCACCCTCGTGGGCCGGTGGGTGGTCACATGTATAGCAGGGAAAGGTGCAGTAGTTGGGGTGTGGTGGAGAGCAAGGGTTGCCTTCTGTTCGGTGAGATGTTGGACGAGTTCGTTGGTGTTGTAGGTGGCCCCACCAGCCAGCAGCGGCTCCATGGCCTCCGGCTTGTAGATCGCCAGCAGCTACGGGTGGCAGAGAGAATGCGCGCACGTCCATTGGAGCTTTTGAGTATCACACACGACACACACGACACACACACACGACACACACACACACACACACACACACACACACACACACACACACACACACACACACACACACACACACGACACACACACACGACACACACACGACATCCATCGCACGGCACGACACACACAAGACACACGACACACACACGACTTCACATGCCTCTGGAGCACGGACATGAGGGAGGGCTACCTTGATGAGGGCCGTGTCCAGGGCAGCGGAGAACTCGAGTGCCTGCTTCCCTCGTCGCTTCGACTCCTGTGGCGGACGCGCGTGGTGCCATGAGAAGAGAGGCCCACACTCACCCACAACCGCGCGCGGTCGCGAGCAGGGAGCAGCACGTACGTCCACCCGCATCCATTCTCTCCGGCGCGCCTCCAGGTACCTGCAGCCAGCCACGCACCACGCACCAGCCACCAGGAAAGAGTGGATGGGGAGGAAGGGAGGCAAAGAAACGGATGGATGATGAGCCCTTCGCTCTGCCCCAAACCGCAGCAGCACAAAAACAAACACCGTGGCGGAGGGGCGGGGGGCAAGGGAATAGGGGTGGCGGTGGCCGGGAGGGGGGGGGGGAAATGTACTTCATGAGCTGCTCGTGGGCGTCGTGCAGGACATCGGCGCGGGCCTTTTCGTTGCTCTCGCCCGGCAGCTTGCTTTGCACTGGACGGGAGGAGGGGAGGGGATTGGGGGGGGGGGCAGAGAATGGGCGGCGAGTGAGCGGGAGGGCTCCACACCCCGCAAAACACCGCACACACCCGCAAGAGACGAGGGGCCAGAGGGGGCATGCGGCACCGATGAGGTGGGCGTTGAAGGCGTTGAGGGGCGTGTAGGTGGAGTGGACGGGCGCAATGGCGGGAAAGAAGGAGATGAGCTCCCGCGGGTCCATGTCCGACTTGTCGAATTGCGCGAAGGCCTGCCACCACCACCACCACCACCACCGGCCGCGCGACGCCCCGTCAGCGCCGAAGGCCGACGCGGTGGCGGCGGCGAGGATCGGATTGGGAGGAGAGGGGTACCTCCTTGAATTTGAGGTTGACAAAGTAGACCATGCCGGCCTCCTGCCGGAACGCCGAGAGCTTCTGCTCTCGCGCGCAAGCACGCAAGCCACCACCACCAGCCACCACCACCAGCCACCAAGAGAGTGAGAGAGGACATGTGCGCGCGCACGAGCGATGGCAATTCGGGGGAGCGGAACGAAATGGAGAGGATATTGGTATAAAGAAGACGTGCGGGAATGGAATGGAATTGGGGGGGGGTAGCGTTAACGTACCGCCGCCTTGCCCTCGCGGTCGTCCTTGAGAGATTCGGCGAGGAGGTCGGCGGCCTCCTGTACGCGCAGCTCCTGCAGCAGTTGTTTGACCTATGCCCCGCGCACGCGCGGCACACGTCAGCATTGCGCCGTGCTCGGGCGAACGCGCGACACACAACCAACCACACAAGTGCCGCTACGCCAGACCCCAGGCCCGCTTGCCGGAGCCGATCAATGGAGAGCGGCGCGCTTGCGGCTCGTCGTGCGTACCTGCTCCTCGACGGGCGTCGGCACCAGGCAGTAAATGGTGCCACCCCCTGCCACGATCAGATGCCGCCCTGTGTCACCCACCATCACCGAACGAGGTCAACGCTCCATCCATACATCAGCCCACCAGCTGGGATTTGGGGGGAGGGGGGCTCCCCGGCACACTGGCCAGGCACCAATATGGGGGGGGGAGGAGGAGGGAGGGCGCTGGGAGGGAAGGAACGCTGCGTTACCGTTGTCCGAGACGAGGGTGAGCTTGCGGGTCACGTGCGAGGGCAAGGGTATGGTCTGGACGAGGCCCTGGTTGTACACGTTGTGGACCTCGATGGACGTGTTCTGCACCCCGACCACGAACGGGTAGCGGTAGCCCACGGCCAGCGGCGGCGTGTCCCACTCGATCTGCGTCGCCAGCGGAGTGCCGACTTGATTCACCAGGAACCCAAAATCTACCGCCGCCCCAGCCAACCACACGACACACACACACGACACACACACACACGACACACACATCACGACACACACGACGCCACAGGTGGATGAGCACTTAACAACAACGAGCACAGCAGCCCCTTGACTGTGGGGAGTGTGGGTGGAGGTGGAGGTGCGGCGCACTGTCGGCGGAGAGGAGGAGGAGGTCGCGGCAGGGCTTGATGATGGGGAGGGACCGCTCGAGGGGGATGGGGAGCGTCGTGACGGCCCCCGTGCGGGGATCGAGCAGCGAGTAGCTGTGCGCATGGCCCGCCACGATCCGCTCCTGCACGTCGATGCACGATGCACGCCCACCCGCACAAAAAACCGGTTACATTCGTGGTGTTCAGGCCAACGTCGAACCACCGCCCAGACCCACCATCAGTCACCACCCACCACCAGCCAACCCACGACAGTGCGTGCGTGCGTGCGTGCGTGCGTGCGTAGTTCGGCCAACAGGCGTACATCGCCACGGGCGGCGGCGACAGGCTTCCACCACTCTAGGGCGAGGATGAGGTCGGGTAAGTTGAACTCCTTGATGGCCTGGAAGGTGCCGGCGCTTTCGTGCTTGTACAGCAGCACCTTCTTCTTCAGCCCCACGCAAACACGCGGTTTTCTGCACACGCGCACGCACCCACGCACCCACGTGCATCGCCACGCCAGGAAAGGATGGTCACGCCATTGGCCCACGCGGTATGGATATGGCAGGCGGCCGTGTGCGGTGGTGTGTGTGCGGTGGTGCGTGTGCGTGTGGGGGGGGGGTTACGTGAGGTGGGGGTCGCGCTCGACGGCAAAGAGGCTGGCGCCCTTGAGGCCGGGCAACGTAGAGGCCCTCTCCAGCGTGTCGAGCTCGAGGACCTCGACCTGCCCATCTGCTCTCATCACCGCCAACCGCCTACCGTCAGCCAGCCACCACGCACGGGGAGTGCTGGGGAGGGTAGCCAGCATTGGGCTGCTGCTCCTGGTGGCGGCGGGTGGCGGCGGCGGCGGCGGATGGCAGTGGCTGGTGGTGGGGTGCAACACGAGCGTACCCTGGAGGGCGAGCACGTGGTGGAGGTGGGCGAGGACGGCGAGCTGCTCGACGGGCCGCTTCCCGCGGCGCAGCGGCACGCGGCGGTCCATGCGGGCGATGGGGGCCTCGTCGGACCCGTCGCGCGCCTGCGATACCACCACCCGGTAGACCACCACGGCGCCCTCGCCCGTGCCCACAAACACAAAGTCCTCTGCCCGCGCGCCACGCCACCACACACATCATACACACGTCAGCGGAAGCCCGCCCGCACCCCAGCCACCAACATCCAGCAGAAGCAGCAGCAACCAGCAGCGCACTCGGCCCCCACACGCGAAGCAGTACTTTGGGGGAGGCTTGCATTCACGTACCCCAGGAGTCTACGGCGGTGGGGCGATGCGGGAGGTGCGGCACGGCCAGGCGCAGCCCGAACGCCTGCACGCCACCTCTGCTGGCATCATGATGATGGCCATTGTGGGAAGTACCACCACCACCAGCAGCAGCAGTCGGCCCTACCTCTCCGCCCCACGCGTGCGGCTGCGGCAGCATAGAGTTTTTTGTGAGGGTCTACGTGGATGTGCAGCGGGCTAGTGAGGTGTGAATAAGAAAAAGAAACAAAGCAAAATTTCTCAAAGACAAAATGCCAAAAGAAAAAAAAAGAAATTGGGGTGGAGGCCTTCTCGTGTGGTGAGCAACGCAACGCACAGATATACATTGTACATTCAATCCTACAACATATACAAACAAACAGTTTTACAGTCCACATCGCGTAGTAATGTAGTAGTAGGTAGGTAGGTTGGGTGGTAGTGGTAGTGGTGGTTGTATGGGAGGGTCGATAGTCGCCCTTCGTCGCTCTCGCCCCTCCGCCGTCTCGTCCCGGGCGCTCGAGAACCGGGAGGGAGAGAGAGGGAGAGAGGGGAAAGGCGAAGAAGAGGGGAGAAGTAGAGGAGGAGATGGAGGGAGGAGGAGGAGGAGGAGGAGGAATAAAATGATAATGGGACAATAAGGAGGGCGAGAGGGAAGAGAGTAGATGGAGGGGGGAGGGGTGATGGACGGATGGATCACTGCTCGTTGCGCGACTTGGGCGGGGGCGAGCCCATCTTCTCCAGGCGGTTGATGATGTGCTTCCCGTAGGTGTACTTCTTCAGCGCGGGCACGTGCGGCCTGCACCGATGATGATTGCAATCATCATGTGCGAGAGGAGGGATTGGGGTGGGGGTGGGGGTGGGGGTGAGGGTGTCGTCAGAAGAAGATGACCAAAAAGCAGGAAGGGGGCAATCATCGATATGGTACCTGATCTTGGTGATGAGCTGATCCCGCTGGTTCTCGTTGACGACGTCGAGCAGCTTCTGGATGACGTAGTTGGCGTACTGGTCCTTCATCATGATCTGCAGAGGGGTCGCCCCGTCGTTCCGCAGTTGCAAAATTTCTTCAATCACCATCTGGCGATCACTCTCGTCGCCGTACTGGCGGCGGCGGCGGCGCAATAATAAGGGGAGAGGCGGGGGAAAGGGGTCAGCCACCTCCTCATGTTCGAAACGCGGAGAAAACGCGCCGCCACGCGCACGGTTGGGGGGGGGGGCGTACGGGTCCGAAGGCGCATTGGATGCACTTCTCGACCACGTTGGAGGCGAACTTGTGTTGGGAGAGCTGGAGGAGCTGGCCGCGGAGCTTGTGGAGGATGGGGGCCTTGTCCTGCGGCTTGCCGTGCTCGAGCACGTGCTGGATGACGTAGTTGCCGTACTGGTCCTGCACCAGCGAGATCGTGCACCGCAGCAGCTCGTCCAGGATGGGCGTCGTCTGCTCCTCCGTGCAGTACTCCAGGATGCGCTGGATCACCCGACACCCGTACGGGTGCGTCGCCAGATGGTACACCTGCTCCAGAAGCCACCAGCCACCACCAGCCACCACCACCACGACCATTAGCAAGGTGGGCTCTCGTAGAGTTTGAGCCTTGCTTGGCTGGTGGTGGTATGCGGTGGGAGGGGGTAGGGGGGGGAAGTGCGTGCCTGGCCGTAGAAGGTCTCGACGATGAACTGGATGAGGGGCGAGGGGACCTTCTCGATGCACTTCTGGATGACGTGGTTGCCGTTCTGGTCCTTGACGCACTTCATGATGTTGCCCTCGAGCTCCTTGACGACCTTCTCCTGCTGCTCCACGGAGATGACCTCGAGCGCCTTCTGTATCACGCGGCACCCGTACATCTGCATCGAGAGCGCGAGCACGTTGCCGATCAGCTCGTCCCCGAGGATCTTGATCTGCTCCGGGGTGCCGTGCTCGAAGAACTTCTGGATCACGTAGTTCCCGAACACGTCCGTCATCAACCGCAGCGCCGACGGGAGGATCTCCTTGAACACCATCTGCTTCTCCGCGGGCGAGGCCTCCTCCAGCTGCTGCTGGATGAAACGCGAGCCGTGCTGGTCTCCGCTGAACTCCACGATGTGCCCGATGATGTCCTGCCACCACCGACATTTATAAACATAAACGCACACACGCAACATGCAACAACACGCAATATATATATATATATATATATATATATATAAAAAGGTAAGGTCGTAAGAAGACGACGCAACATCATCCAGCCCTCCCCGTGCAGCACATCGTCGTTGGACTGGGAGGTACCAGGGGAGGAGGGCGGGGGGGTGTACCTGGAGGGTGAACTTGCGGTTCTTGTTGTTGCGGAATTCCTCGAGGAGGGACGAGCGACCCACGGCGGAGGGGGCCGCCTCCTCCACGCCAGCGCGAGCGGTGCCCTTGTTGGCGGCAGCGGGTCCGCCGCCGCTCTTGTGTCCCGCGAAGCCCGCGGGAGCCCCTGCGCCGCGACCTCGGAAGGCGGCAGCGCCCTGGCCGCTGGCCTGCGCATCGGTCACGCTCACCCCAACTCCGTGCGACACCGACGGGTGCACCAGCATCCGCTCCTCCGACAGCGAACGCCCACCGGCCTGCGTGCCCCCACAACCGACGGGTGAGTGGGTAGATGGGTGGGTGAGTGGGTGGAGGTAGAGGAAGGGTGTCGTGTGGTGTCGTGTCGTGTCTACCTGGCCCATGAAGCCCATGCCCATGGCCGCGGCGTTCTTGGAGGGACCAGCCCCGGCAGGCGCGCGCGCCATGGCGGCGGGGGACACGACGGGGGCGCCGGCCGGGTTGTTGAGGGCAGCGAGGTGGTGCGGGTGGGCGCCGGCATGGTGGGGCAGGTGCGCCGCCGACCGTTCGTCGGCGTCCCAGAGGAGGGAGGCCGGGTAGGCCGAGGCGTACTCGGGCGGCAGGCCCACGCCGGACATGCGGGCGCCGCCCAGCCCGGCGCCAAAGGATCCGCCCTGAGCCCCGGTCTTGAGCGGGCCGCGGGCGCCGTGCATCTGCGAGACGGCGGCGCTGTCGACGCCGTTGCCGTAGGCCAGGGAGGCCATAGCGTAGGCCGTCGGGTTGAGGGGCACCTGCCCGTACTGCCCGGCTGCCTGGGAGGCCGCCGCAGCTGCGGCAGCGGCCGCATACATCTGCGCGGCTGACGCCAACCCCGCGGCGGCGGCGGCATTGTTGCCGGCGCCCTGCTGGAACGCAGCGTAGGGGCCGCCTGCTCCGCCGCCGTAGGCAGAAGCAGAGGCGGCGGGGTTGCCCTTGCGGCCCTGCTGGCCGTGGGGCGCCACGCGCGACATGCCCGCTGCCGCCGCGACGTTGAGGTTGACGCCTCCGAACTCGTCAGGGTAGGCATACCCGGCCGCCACCGCACGCTTCTCCCTCTCCAGCCGTTCAGACGAGGCGTAACGCGCCGCCGCACCGTTCTGCCGTGTGTCGTTGGTCGTGTCATGTGTCGCGGTAAGGGGAGTGGAACGAGCTCGTGAGTGGTTGCAGGCGAGTAGCGGAGCGTGGCGAGGTGGTGTACCTGCGCCGAATCGTTGAGCGAGAGGCCGTGCATGCGGGAGTGGAGCTGCTGATCGATGGGCTCCGGGTAATACATGGGGCTGGGCTGGCCCTGTGCTGCGGCGGCAGCGGCGGCTTGCGCGGCCGCAACCTGCTGTTGACGGACGCGCTGTTGCTGCTGGTGGTGCTGCTGCTGCTGCTGCTGCTGCTGGAATTGGTCGAGCGCCAGCTCACGCGCCTGCGCCTGGACCTGTGCGTGGGCCTGGGCCTGCGCATGCGCGTGCGCCTGAGCATGCGCGTGGGCCGCGGCAGCAGCGGCGGCCTCTGCCTTAGTCGGGCGGCTCACAGGCTTCTGGTAAACCGGTGAGGGCGTGCGCGGAAAGTCCTGCTGGATCATCTCCACTGCGTGTGGAGAGAGGGGGAGGCGGAGGCGCGCGTGAGCATTCCACGCGTGCTTTGCGCGAGGCAGCCAGCTTTGGAGAGCGAAGCGAAGAGAGAAGAGACGAAAAGAGGGGGGGAGGATAGAGGATAGAGAGGAGGGGGGGGGTTAGGGCCTACCAAGAGAGGGCTTCGCGGAGACGGGGGAGCGGGCGCGCTGGGGCGGCCCAATGGGTCCGGAGGGGGACTTGGGGCGGTAGGACTCGGCGGCCAGGGGCCAGGGATTGTCCTCGCTGGCGCCCACGCCGCCCCAGTCGGGTTGCGCTCCGCCAGGCGGAACGGCCACGCCGTGCTGCTGCTGCTGATGATGATGCTGTCCTCCGCCGAAGCTGGAAAGGACGGCAGCGGCGCGCGGATTGCGGGCGGCCTGGGGCTGCGCAAGGGGCGCCACGATCCCCGCTCTCCCGTGCGGTATGTATGCGCCTCCTTCCATCAACTGTGTGGTGCGGCACCACCGGACAACGAGCGAGAGTGGAGTGGAGTGGAGTGGAGGGCGTTAGATCGGATGGACCCGTGTGGTGGCGGTGCGCGGTGTTTGTGGGTTCCGCGGCCTCTGGAGGGTCCCCTCGCCTGGCACAGAGACGCTAGCGTGAGAGCAGAAGGCGCCTACCTTGGAGAGGTCCTCTTCGGTGGGCTCCAGGGGGAAACCGCCGTCGGCGCCGTGCAGGTTGCCGTTGGAGTCGTCGTCGTCGTAGTGGCCGTAGCCGGACCAGGGCAGCACCAGGGGAGGCGGCAGGCGCGGGTCGAGGCGTCGCTGGGAGTAGTAGTACGCGTAGTAGCCCGGACTCAGGCGCGGGTCGTCGGGGCTGATGTTGTCGAGCTCCGCCGGAGTGGCCATAAACTGGTGGCTTTGAAAGACCGCCGCTGCACACCCCCAATCCCCTTCTCATGAGAATTGTGCATGCACCGCCCCAAGACGGAAAAATGGATTTTGGCGATGATCTCGCGCTACAAAATCGCTACGCCAATTTGAAAAGGGATTGGACTACTATAATAGAGTGAGATCCCACAGGGGTGGAGTAGGAGGTCGCACCTGAATTGCCATCGGGCAGGATGGGGGGAGCGGAGCTGGATCTCATGCTGGCCAGCTCAGCTTTTGCCTCTGGGGACAACAGAGTAAGTGGCAGCCCTTTGATGCAGGCCAATCCTCAGGAAAGCGGAGATGCGCGCAAGGGCAGTACCGGCCAAAGGATCGTGGTCCTCGGCGTCATCGATGAACTCGCTCAGGAAGTTGGGAATGAGGTGGTTCTCTTTCATCCTTTCCTTCCTCCGGTTTCGCCACCAGACCCTCAGGCGCCAAGTGCGTCTATTTCACGTCGAACGAGCACGCATGGGGCCCGAGCAGGAACACCGTGCAGCGGAACGCGGAACCCGGGGGTGAGCAAATTAGTGAAATAAATCGAATAAATGGCGCGGCCATCCCTGATCACCCGTCAGATCCGAAAATGAAAAGAATCTAAAGACGAGGAAGAGGAACCAGCAGCGACGGTGGGTGCGGGGGTGTAGGGTGAGACGTACGAGGAGGGGGGCGATAGAAGAAGGGGGGTGTGCCGCTGGGAGAGCCCGTAACGTGCGACCCTGTCTGTCCAGACACTGAGCCGACAAGAGAAGGAAAGAAACTGGAGCAGCGAGGGCACAACAAAACCCGGCCCCTTGTCTTCTCCTGCCGTGCGCGACGCGGAGTAGCTGGGCCGCCAGCGCTACCGCCACCTTACGAATTAAAAGGTCAAGCATGCGAGGAATTCACAGGCCACACACACGCCACCGCGAGGTGCAACAACAACCACACGCGGCTGAAACGAAAACGACCACTTTGTGCAGCACAACAACAACAACAAAAGCAGTACACCCCCGCATGGACGTGGACGACGAGGAGGTGGCGGGAGCAGCAGCAGCAGGAGGACGGGCCGACGCCAGCAGCAGCGGCGCTGGCAGCTCGACACCTCGGCCCCCTAGTGCAGGGGCGCGAAGGTGGTGGTGGGCCGCGACACAGGTGGGAGGAGGCCTCCTCCCGCCAGCCGGCAGCAGCTGGCGACGTTGGGCGCGCTGGTTGCTCGCCTCGTGCTGGACCCTCTGGCGATGGGCGCTGGCCGCCGCCGGCCACCTGCAGCAGCGCACGCGGGCCTGGGCGCACGACCTGCTCGCCACCGGCAGCACCAGCACTAGCGGCGGCGGCGGCGGGGAGGGCGGTGGTCCGGTGGGCACGCTGCAGGCCACGCTCGAGTGGTGGTGGGTGGTGCCCGGTCGGCGGCGGGCGGCCCTGCTGGCGCTGGCCACGGTGAGCTTGACGGCCCAGGCCCTGCTCCTGTCCCACGTGGCTTCGCAGGGCGCGACCGGCCACGAGCCCGCACACTCGCACCACCCGCACGCCGTGCTCCTCCCCTCCTGGCAGCAGCAGCACCAGAAGAGCTCCTCCTCTGCAC